CAAACGAAACCGAGATCAGGAACTGAGCTGCCACCGCTTCTGTAGACACACTGTGAGAATTCCTACCATGTCACTGTCTGAAGCAGGACATGCTTTGAACATGTGGCAGGCAGCAGAGCCCGCCTTCCCAAGTGCGGTGAACCAGGCCATCTCCTTGCACCGCTTGTTCTTGTGCCACCCCTCACCATCGAGGTCCCACAGAGCTTGTTGCTGACACCCCCCCGCCCCACCAAGGTGAAGGGTAGGTGAAGCTGGGTTTGCAAGCTTTGAGGAAGCTTCCTGGAGAGGGGTGGGGAGACGAGGAGTGGTTTCAGAACATTCCGAGTCCAGAACTCTCGAGGAATTCAAGTTGGTTTTGCCTCGGTATCGGCAATCTGAAAGTTCAAAGATCATGATCTACTTTATTTGGCGTGTCTACTTTTGTATTCAGTGGCAAACCTATTCGATAAAAATATTATTCTTCTGACGATGACAATATATTTAAATAGTTGATATCAAAATTCCACAAATCTATTCTTCTCTCGTGTATGGCTTTTAATATATACATTCCTACAAGTGTTGCTTACATGTTTAAGGCGTTAAAAGTTTGCCAATATCCATCCAATTAGTATTAAGTCATATCACCCAATCTCTCGAGTGCGCACATATGGTCTCATCGAGTGTGCATATTTCGTTGCATAGTCCCGTTGTCTATGATGGGTCACACATTAATGCATTAATAGATTCCTTTGACTGCATTAAAAAGATATTGAATGACGAGTCTATACAAAAGGGTCCCACCCTATGATAAATAAAATAGTCTGCACCCTTTTTCCGTTCCAATACTTTATTTATTATTTATTATTTCGTTTTGACTTGAACGAAAATTCTGAACGATCTTTTTGGACTTCGTCATAACTATAAAATATTTCTCTTGCGTTAAGACTTTTGGATCTCATCATAATAAACTATGCTTTCTAGCTAAGCTAATTTTATTTCAATCGTAATAATGAGCATTTGATTCATTATATGCAGTGAATACCTCTTAGCGGAAATAGGTTTAATTAGTCACAATAAGGAATTTTTAATATATAAACTGACTGAAAGTTGCCATTTTAATTTTGTTATATATTTCACTTTAATAAAGGCTTAAGCGAAACTTATAAATCTTTTGTTATATATTCGAAAGCTTCGCCTCGCCCAAATCTCCAAAATCTTCCTCCTCTCCCTTCTCGATTGGCTTGGAATTAGGGTTAGGGTTTCGAGATCTCAAGAATCCGATGAATTGTGCTTTTGGAATCGACTATGGCCAATTGGAACTGAAGGGCTAGTGCTCTGTCTCATCAACCATTTCTCGAGTTCTTGAGATTCATGTGTTTGCTCATCAGCAGAACAATGATTGCATTCTGACTATGCTATTTGTTTTGATGCGATTCATGAAATTTTACAGCCAATTAGCCTGATGATGAATGCATTATGTCGGGGAGAGACACATTCGTTCTTGCATATTGTTAAAAGGGTAATCTATTTATTGTTTTCTCACATTTCTGTCTTCTAAAATGAATCGATGGATTATAGATGTCTGCTTTACCATACCAAGAACTTAATGACAGAGAGACAGGGTAAATTAGTATAATAATATTTTTTAATTAATTTTAAAACTTGATCGATAAATTAATATATTTTAAAATTTCGATTGAACAAATTAAAATTATAAGTAAAGAAAATAAAATTATGACACAAGTAAAGAACAAGTAGGAAGAGACAAACTAATTTATCATGGTTCGATTTTCTCGACAAACTAATTTATCATGGTCACTTTTATTATCGATCTTTTAAGCAAATTAATTTATCATGGTTCAGTTTTCTTGACCTACATCTATTTCTGATTTCTCTTTTTTCAAAACTATTTACTTTTATTATCGATCTTATTTTTTAATGGCTCTTGTTAAGTGTTTTTTCTTTTTAGATAACATTCATATTTTTTTTATATAAAATCTCTAACTTAGAATTATGATCAAACTCAAGAGGAGGAGGAGACTCAAACTATGCTCAAAATGAGAGTTTACAATATATTTTTTGCTCGGGAATAAATACTCCATCAACTAAGCCTGAGTGGGATATTTATATGTCTCAAAAGGCTTTAAGATTTAGTCAAAAATTCAAATCCCCAAAATTTCGAAGTGCAAGCGGTACTACCATTGACATTGGCCGATACTACCGCTATAACCAGATTGCAAATATTGGCTCTGGCGATACTATTATTGGCCTAGGCAATACTACCTTCGAACTAGATGTTACCATTATTGGAAAACGTCGATAAAGTATATGCAATACTTGTCAATTGACTTAGACGATACTATCGCTTGGGCCTAGTAATACTATGGCCCAGGCTTGGTTTAGACCACTGGTTTGACCTTCTAATATGCTCAATTTGATCTTGATTTAAGCTCGATGACTTCCTTGATAAGTTAGAATAATTTAAGCCCAATACCAACTCAAATTGACTCATAGTGACTTCAATCAAAACTTTGACAAATCAACCACACATATGACACATTTACAAAGCTTTCGACACATTATACGTTATTCCAGCGTGTCATTCGATGTTCCGGTATTTTGTTCGAATATCCAACATATCGTCCTTTCTTTCGACATATCGTTTATTTCATCGGGATATCAAATTTTTTATGACATCCAGTCTTTCAACACAATATTTGTCTTTCAACACAATATTTGATTCTTCTGACACGATGCTCGAACCTCTAGCATAAAGTTTGATTTTTGTATGTCGACCAATTCTCTGGCTTGACGTTTAATTTTCGACACAATAATTTCCCAACACAATGTTCAACCCTTGGTGGTCCGAGTCCATGATTGAAGTATTTCATGCATTATTCATTTCAAAAACATGTTAATATGATAAACTCATTAATTAATTTTATTATCAAAATCTAAAATTCAACAATCATTTTATGTGTAGTATATTTACGTCTCTCATAGTAAGATGTGAGTAATATTGCTTGTCTATTAAAAAAATATATTTAAATATTATGAGATAGACAAAACTCGCTAATTATGACAAAGCGTTTGATATAAAAAATTTGTGGAATATCATTGATGAGAAATCCGTATCGGACAACTACCATCATTGACTAAAGTTTGTTTGACGAATTGCTTGGTCCTTAGTTTCCTTCATTCCAAACCATGATATTTGGAATTGAGAAAACTGATACTCTGAACCTAAAGAATTTACATGGCTTTTGTGGCTCAATAAGATGCGGCGATCAAGCTTATCCGAGAAGAAAACCAATCTTGCTGGATCTCTGTACAAATATATCATACGGGTCAGTCTATATTTGTGATATTGATGACAGTTGAGTTTCGTCGAGGGTAAATTTTAGTGTTGCCCTTTCCTAGTTGGTTTTGGTACAAGTATACTTCTCTTGGAAGAGGTTCTGTGCAAGGAAGAGGGCTGAGAAACACACCAGTCCTTGTATTGCAGACTTGTACTACTCATCCACCATAACTTGGTGACTTGTATGATGACCAAGATCATACTGGACCTGGTAGAGCTTATCTTGGACTGTGCAGCTGCTGATGCAGTTGATGGATTCAAATACCTAAAATTCTATAATAATGTTTAACTAGCATGTCCATCTACTGTTTCCTGCTCAATGCTGACTTTTTGACTTGTCAACTTGTTCTCAAATGAAACTGCAACTTTACTGCCAATCACACATGTTTGTCAAGAATCTTTCAATCTTTTCCCTGAAGCCATAGTTTATATCCACATGATATGAGTGACGGTCTCGAAGAGATCTTGCAATCATACTCCTGTCGAAGACGGGCGGCGACGCTAAGGCCCCCGCCAAGCCTTTGGACCGCGCGCGTGTCGAGGCCCAAGAAGACATGAACCGCGTGGAGCTCAAGCCGTCGCATGCGGCGTGGTGCACAGCCACGCCGATGGCCGCGCCTTGGTTTGGGAATACTGTCACCTGCAAGGCCAGCGGCGGCACTCGGCCGTCGTCAGACTTGGGTAGCTGGGGAACCAAGGGTCGCAGCACGTTGATGTCACGTGCATGGGTGCCGGAGATATCCTCGAAGTCCGCCTCGTACTCCGCCACCGTGAATGGGACAGAGTCGCCGCCGTCGGCGTAGTGGATCTCGTACTTGTCGAGGGGGTGGCAGATCTTGCCGGCAAGCGAAGAAGGTGAGGATGGAGTCGAAGAAGTCGGAGGTGGAGTGGGGGATTTGGTAGAAGAAAACTCGTTCCACCGCTCCAGCGTTTACCCATGCTAAGTCAAAGAAGGTGAGGGGCAAAGTGGATTCAGCTATTGATATGGTAATGACGAGAACTCGGAACGCCGGCAATGACGCCATTGATGTGGAAGTCGTGGAAGCTGGCTTGGTTCATGGATGGGCCTTCTCGCTATGTTTTTACATTTATAATGGCGGTTAAAGGTAGGAAATGCATGGAAAGGATATTTTTGTCATTTAGATACCCTTTCAACCCTTTTGTACTAATAAATTAGGCTCCATCGATGCAGGTTGGTCAGTAGCACTGCGATTTAAGGACGCTGCAACCCGTAACACCAATTTATGGCGCCGCGTGACTATTACATCGGCTGATCTCCACCGTCATCGCTCCTCTCGATCATATGATCCGACGGCTAGAGATGCATCCATTCAAATTTCGAATAACTCCGACCGAACTGTTCATACACGCACGAGTCCGCACGAGCACTGTCTATCTCAACCTCCCCAGAACGAATCGGACGGCCAGTGAAGTGTCGCATAAGAAAGAACATGCGGTAGAAGACTTGGGGTAGACCGGAGAGGCAATGCGGATATTTCCTTGAAGTTTCAGGGCGATTGCATAGCAAACACGGCATTTTGAATCGTCCTCGCCCTCTGCAGTAACCTGCGCCGAGCATGATCTAGATGGACGCTCCGTGCGCGGAGTCTACTGGAATGGACGGTCCAGATCGAGTACTGGGCGTCAGCAAATGGACTTGTGGCCTTTCAAAGAGGTAGGTGAGGACCCGAGCGATCTCCCTCTATTTAGCCTTGCGATCCTTCGCTGCGCCTCCGAGAATCGGCGGATCGGAGCAAGAGACCGAGACAGTGATCCCTTCCCCCATCTCTCTCCGTCCCCTTTTGGATCGGAGATTTTTGTTCTCCTGCCCTTTTCGGATCGGAGATGGGGTTTGTTTCCTTCGCTGGGAGGGTTCTATTCGCGTCCGTCTTCCTCCTCTCCGCTTACCAGGAGTAATCTCAGTCTCCCTCGCTTTCTTTCCCTTCTTTTCTTTTCCTCCTACTTATTGATCTTTTGTTGGTCTTATTTGGATCTGCAGTTTCTCCGTTTTTCTTTCAATTCTTTTGACGCGTTTCGTTTGTGGGTTTCTCTTGGTTTTTCTATTGTTCCGGGCTTTCTAAATTTGGGGGTATTTGGCTATAGAGACCAGGACTTAATGAATTTTGCTCTCTTGTTGTGTTGGTCGCCTATGTGTGATCTGATGAGCTCGTTTTGTTTCTTTTGGAGGGGTTTTCTGGTGATGCTTTCTTGCCTGAACTGGCGGTTTTGCTCGGATCTAGTTTGCTGAGGTTGATTCGGTAGATTTTGTTCTTTGATCTATCTCTTGATCTCTTATGTGAGGTCTCTGTCCGATGCTTTCTTCTCTCATTGTTTAAGTTTTGTTTTCTATTGATATGATCTGTTTATTTTAAGGATTCTTGTTGGAAGTAAGTTAGATCTTCAATTTTTTCTTCTCTTTGTTTGTCATTTAATTTGATGCACTACGATCTTTATTGGGTACACGTTCATTAAATGGGCAATTGTAAGTAGTTATAGGCAATAGGGAGTACCTGGTTGGATAAAAGTTTGCCTCGAGTTCGATGTTATTTGATTGGTACTACAGAGAGAGCAATAGACTTCCTATGGATTTTGTTCCTGATCGGTTAAAAAATACTGGTAATTTGGAGTATGGAGCATTTAAGCTGACTAGTAAAACTGAATGGTTGACTAGTCTCAGCAAATTAGAAGTTTTTCTTGATATGGTCCCAAAAAGGAGAGGCTTTAAGAGAAACAAATGCGAAGGAAGGAATCAACCCTTCCTGAAAGGATTTAGTTGGAGAGTGATCATACTCTTATTACCTTTTTATATTAGCATTTTTTATATCATGGAAACTTCTGAGGTATCTGTGCCTTATACTGTTATTTGGCTATGACACTTTTATCCACATTCTGTGGTTTGTCATCTGGTTGTCTTTAATTATCAGCATGTTTTTCTTTCAACAGTTCGCAAATGTAGCATCAGCATTTTGTTCTTTTAGCAGTTCGAGAATTTATTATTACATATGGATTTCTTTGCTGTGTGTGTTCTTCTGTATTTGCTTTTTGATGTACTGGAATATTTATGGACATCGTTGTGTTAGTAACATAGAAAAAGTGATGATACTATGTCAGATGGCTAAACAAAGAATATCTACATGTTATGTTATTAAATGTCATCAACATCTATGCACTAAAAAATATTGTGGTACATCAAGCATGTCCAAACAAGGATCAGGACACGACCTGCTAGATCACTTCTAAGTACCATCTATTTGTGATTATACATAGCTTAAATAAAAACACACAGTTATATATACTGGGCTATACCTGAATGTCTGCCTGTCCTGCTTCGGCATTGAGTTGGCTTGATATGAGATGGTAATGGTTTAATGTTTGTCAGTATGTTTAAATAAAAGAATATTGACATCTTAGAGAAGTAATACTAGGTTGTGTTTTGCATGGTGTATGTTTCATTTGTGTTTTCTCAGAAAGTTCGTTGGGAGTGCAATCTTATTATTTCTCATTAGGCATATTAGATGGTAAGGTAAGCAATTGTAGACATGGAAACTTTCTACTTCTGTAACTTTGAAAAAATAAATATTTGTTACAATTTTTTATGTTGTTATTTTATAAACATAATAAGAACAATAAGTAATGCCAAAAACTTGCCTTAGAAGTTACTATATAATCTCCCCAAGTCAAACCTTGGCCTTCACTTAGGGTAAAACATATGACTAACTTTGTCCTATAGACTCTACTGTACTATTGTTACTATATTCTTTTTCCAGTTTCATTTAATCTTTGGTCTTTTACTGTCATGTGTCTGTTATTTTGTTGTAAAGGAACTTCTGCAGTAAAGGTCTTTTTTTGGTGATGAACACAAGTATCTATTAATTTTATTTGAAAACACAGCTCGAGGAAGGATAGAGGGAGGTAGATAAAATCTTGCCCATGCCACAGAATGGGTTGATATATGATAATGTCTTTATTGGTTGTATTAAGATAGCGCAGCAGATATTTTGAGAGCTAGAAACTGGTTCATGCTGCCAAAAGTGCTAACTCTAAAAAGCACCAAGATTTTGAAACTCCCATAGCACTAGGCACTCACTTAGGTGCTCGCTCGAATGAAGTGAGACGCTTTCTAATATAAAATTTATAAAAAATATAGTCAAAAATTAAAAATTTAGACAATACAATATTACCTACAATTATCCTGACTCAAGATTTTGAGATCCTAAAACTGTGGTGACAATTCAAAATTCTAACAGTAATAAATTTAGTAATTAATACAATTCATAAGCTATTATTATCAAGAATTGTTGGAAAAAACAGAGATCATAGGAACTTGGTGGGGGTGGGCTGTTAGAGCCCACAGAAGCATAGAAGAGAGGTAAGGGAGAAAAGGAGGGTGTTTTGATTTTTTTTTGACGCATGGAGGTTGTCACACAGGTGGGAAGAGGGAGGTTTGGGTTTAGTGTTTTGGACTCAAAATTAGACCAAATGGTTTGAACCTGAACCAATCCTAAAAAGTGTTTTGATTCGCATGGGTTGACTAAGGCACAGGTGGGAAGTGGGAGGTTTGGATTTAGATTTTTGAACTCATCAAATCAGATCAAATGGCTTGAACCAGGTCCAATCCTAAAAAGTGTTCTGATTCGCTTGGTTTCACCGAGGTGCTCACCTGGTTCCCCCTCCTAGGCTCCTTGCCTGGGTCATTTTGAGGTGCTCGGGCCTCACCTAAGCCTCTCTTGAGAGCCTAGGGAAGCTCCCAGTGACTTCACTGAACCGATGCAAGTTAAACTTTGCATGAACGTAACTTGCGATATATCATAATTTGTGGAGATACGGTACTCGGATGAAGATTATTGACTGACATTATGTATGATTCAGGCATCTTCGATATCCATTGAATGTGTCTGTATGCTTTCTTCTGACGTATAATTGTGTGGCAGGTTTAGTGAATTTGGAGTTAATGGTGGACCAGCTGCAAAGGCTCTTAAGCCAAAATTCAACCTTTTCATGAAGCATGCTTCTTCACATATTGGCTTTGAAGTGCCTCATGTTGAAGTAGGAACTGTCTTTATTGTTTTTCAATACTTGAGATGCTATATTTGTCTACCGATATTTTTTATCTGAAATGTCCTCTTGTTCTCTGTTTTCAGATGAGACAGGTTATTGCTGGTACTATTTTTCTGAAAGGACTTGGTGGCCTACTGTTTATCTTCAGCAGCTCGTTTGGAGCATATCTACTGGTAATTGTTGTCTTGTATATAACTATTATTACATGTTTTGTCCAGAAAGGAAGCATTTTGCTTGAGAGAAACTTTTGGCCTGGGATGCTTGGATATTTACCAATATTGAATCTGACATTTTTTGGTTGTTTAGCTTAGACCTAGTACTTGCAGAATACATGAAACCTAAGCTTCGAGATTAAGTCAGTTTGGATTGTTTATCCTAATTTCAGAAATTCCATCTAATTTATTTGGTTTTGATCAGTTTTGAATAGTTTTGCCAGAATCTACCAAACCCATCCAAAATGGTTTGAACTCAGTATAACAGATTTAAGTAAATCCTTCAATTGGGGAACCAAACAGCAAGAGGCTGAAGTTTGGTGGATGTACCTTAATTTACATGAAATATGTCAGTTCTTCCTGTCATTGCCTACTGCCATTGATGGTGCAGAGAGACTCCATACTTCATGGTGTCATCACTGGCTTATGATTTGTTGCCATGAGGCGTTTGATGCACATTGTGATGGTAGTTAAAACAAATTTCTGACTCTTGGACATTTATTCATGTGCAGCTTCTTTACCTGGCTTTCATCACTCCGGTCATGTATGACTTCTACAACTACGATGTTGAGAAGTCAGAATTTGTGCAGCTTTTCAGCAAGTTTATTCAGGTTTCCTCACATATCCTTCACATCATGTGTCAACTCTCTATTTTGTTTCTATGGGTTAGGATTTTGTTATAATTGGATGTGACTTAATTCTTTCTTTCTTCTTTTTTTTGTTCTCCAGAATTTGGCTCTCATTGGTGCGCTGCTCTTTTTCCTGGGCATGAAGAACTCCATCCCAAAGCGTCCGAAAAAGAAGGTTTCTAAGACAAAAACCAATTGAAGTGTTTGATGGTTGCTGCAGTCCGAGTTGTAGGAATCAGTTGGTCTACTCCCCCATCAGACCACCACAGTCGTGTCATTTTCTACCTGTTGGCGGAGATTTAAGATCCCCTTCCTTTGTGAAAGTTGTGTTCTATCTTATTCTGGTACACTAGAGGTCGAGTTGACAAACTATAGATCCATTTTTCCCAAGTTTTTTTGCTTACATTATTTTGCGATTTATCAATTCATAATCTAGACTTCTGCACCGAGTTATTAATGATTAACAAGATTTATCAACACTACACTTGTTCCTTCAGGTGAAACCCTTTGTTAGCATTGCTGCTCTTTAGTGGCTAAACCATATTAGGTTACATCATCTTTATATTGAAGGAGTCTTCGCAAGCTTAAGGCACCCAAAGAAAACAAAAGGAGCACAACAAAATCATGTCCCAGATCATCAGGCAAGTAGTCGGTTATCGTGGCCTTGTCCCCAATTTTGTTCAACCAATTAGATGTCCATTTGAGCTCATCGAAGGGGACTATCATGTTTATGTAGCCATTTGATGATAATATATTGTATATTTACACGTATATACAACATGTATATTTGTATTTATATATACATAATCTTCATATGATGATATATGTTGTACAACCACAACCGTACATTTTGGAGGTTGTCGCGTCTATGAACAGTTGTTGCAACAACAAGAGGCAACAGAAAATTTCCTGAGACTTGGATTTAAACGAGGATAATATGATCACACGTGTGTTGGCCCCACATATGTCTTTTTTGTCTGCTTGACTGGTCTTCTAGACTAACTAATACATTGATAAGGTTTGTTTTGATCATATATATATATATATATATATATATATATACATATATTTAATGCTCCCCAAATCCTGCCAAAATTGACCAACCGGTGGTATTTTATTTTTCTAGTCGTCATGGGAATGGCTCCTCTTCAAGTGCTCTATATATCAGACAAAGCCATGCGTTCTCACTCAAGCTATTGTTTCATTTAATATATGGATGCATTACAACTAGTAGATAGCTTATTAATACTAGCAGAAGCAATTACTCGGTCAAGAAACTATTACGTAAACTTCACAATGTTTCATATGGAGTACAGTATGTGAAACATTAGCGACTCATTTACGTAGATCAGCTTGTCTAAAATAGATCATAATCACAAGGTCTAATGTGTCTTCGTGCTGTAAAGCGTGAGTTTAGCTGTCTTCAACTCTAAGATATTGGCCGATAAAGGTACAGTTGCCTCTTATATATATATATATATATACACGCAGACACACATGACTGAAGCCATGGAAAGGTGGAAGATGATGGCTTCCAAGAAGTCCAATTCCATGCACAAGCTTCAGCCACTTCTGATCTCCCAACTCAAATGATACAACAGTAACTGCAAACACTGGAAAGCAACTGAATCTGTTGATGGCGTAATACTCGTGTAAATGATCACAAGATTCTCATGTTTGCATCTCGGGTTGAGTGAATGATTAACGTCTTCAGGAAATATAACCTTCTATGGCTGCTTAATCGAAATATATTATGTGGGATGAGGTGATGTTTGAGCTATATTCTAACAAAATACAGTGAAATCTGTCGGCCATTCGGAAGACCAAGCAATGTTGATCTTTCATCCCGACTCCCCACTCTTCAAGCGTTTATAAGCCAAGCAGACGTCGCTCTTCCTCACCCACAAGCACAAGACAACCCAATCCCGTTTGATCGATCCGAAGGCTAATCAACATGGCAGGGTGTGGCTCTCCCTGTGGAGCTTGCAAGTTCCTAAGGAGGAAGTGCCTCAGTGGCTGCGTCTTCGCCCCCCACTTCTGCCATGAGAAGGGCGCGGCTCACTTCGCGGCAATCCACAAGGTGTTCGGGGCGAGCAACGCGTCCAAGCTCCTCATGCACCTCCCTCCCGCCGACCGATCCGAGGCCGCCGTCACCATCTCGTACGAGGCACAAGCGAGGCTTTTGGACCCCGTTTACGGCTGCGTCGCCCAAATCTTTGCCCTCCAGCGACAAGTGAGTCCTCCTCAGCACGCAAGAAAGATCTTTTTACCGCATTCCTTCCGGTGTTAATGCTTTCCCTCCATGTCGTAGGTTGTTCTTCTGCAAGCTCAGCTAGCCTCTCTGAAAGCCCAAGCTCAATTGGCACTTGGAAATGGCACGACGTCGCCTGGAGAAGGGATCGCGCCACCTGCTTACGCATCAATCTTCTCGACGAACGATTGGCTTGCGGATTGCAACAGCTGCCGGTCCTCTCACGACTGCAACTCCCATTTTGCCATGGTGGAGGACGAGGCCATGGTGTTCAGGATTCAGAGTGAGGATGCTCCTCGTTCCATGGCATCTCTCGACGTGCAAGCTGGTCCTTGGAGGTCGTCAGCATCATCGTCATCATCATCATCGTATACTGATGTGGAGGGCCTTCTATCTGTAGCTTTTGCTTATCCTGGTCGTTCATAAGAATGAAGATCCATTATTGGATGCCTCATCATTGCCCATTCCCAATAATTGACATGCATTCATTCAGCTAAACATGTAATTAGCAGAAGCTGTGGGACGACCATTAGTTTAGTAGTAAGTAGGAATAAAAACCTAAAGTCTATTCATGCACTAGCTAGTTAAGTATTACTTTATCTTCAGAGATTTGCATGATATGTTGCTTGCATTATATGAGGCTTAAGGATTAAACTTGTTGATTTCAATCAAGTGACAAGATAAGATCATATGACCCTCGATGTGACATTTGCTTTCACTTTACTCGAGCTTCTTTCTTCTTTCGACCACTCAACACACTCTTTTTGCATGATGAGGCTTTTTGCCTTTGCCTGCAATGCTTGCTGGATTGGTTGATGAAACTCCAAAGGGAAGGGTTAAGTCCATGGAATCATCGAAATTGTGATGCAAAAGTAGCATTTGCCCAATCCATGACACACTTGATAGTTTCAGAATTCATTTGAGAACAGTAGTTTCAAGTCAATGAGAAAAATTAAATACATGGTTTTGATTTGTATAAGGTCTAAGAGTTTAAATTCTTATAATGATATCCAAGGAGCTATATTTATGCTTTGACCCATTTAAATGTACCCATTAAATCACACACAACCACAAAAGTAATCGTATCCTAGAAAAAATGATTCTTTTCATCGCTAAAATCCTAAACACCCACCGAGATTCACCTGCATACAATTAGTTTGTGACTAATTTTAATATACATGAATATATATATATATATATATATATATATATATCCATAATGAGATTTTTTTAATCATACCTAAACTTATATAGAGTGATTAAAGTGCCCTGTCATTTTAAATTACTATAATGTTGCCTCTCTCTCTCTCTCTCTCTCTCTCTCTCTCTCTCTCTATATCAATCTATATATGTCTATCTCTAATGGTAATAACACTTTAACTAGGACTATTTAAGGTAATGGCTACATAGGGCCTATGTTCCGAACTCAAGGACAGATACGTGCTCTCTCTCTCTCTCTCTATCTCTAATGGTAATAACACATTAACTAGGACTATTTAAGATAATAGCTACATAGGGCCTATGTTCCGAACTCAAGGACAGATACATGCTCGCTCTCTCTCTCTCTCTCCTTTTAGGATAAATCTCGGAATTAGATGCACCCCTCACTCCTCAAGTTCAACACCTTTCCTACTCCAAAGCTAGAAATTGAGATCACAACAACATGGGAGGCCGACTTTGCTCACAATAAAATAGTTGCAAAAAACACTTGGTCATCTGCAAATGATACGACCATTGCATTTCCTCTCCGGAAAACCCTCCTAGATTTGATGAATTCAGTGGAATTTTCTCCCCAAAGCACTTAGATTACTCTATTGTTTAGCCGTTTTCCAATTCCATTTTATGCTATGTGTAGGGTGATTTATTAGAACATGTAGTTCATGTTACACGAACTCCACCTCCAGTCCTTGTTAATCCTATGAGAAAGCAAGATTATAAAACAATGAGATTGGTGATAAAACAAATATTTGAAGTACTTGGAGTTTGGTGAGAAATGTTAGTGTCTTGAGCCATTTTGGCATTATGTTAATCGAGCGTAATGGTGGGGCCTTGTTTGGTGAAGGTTCTCTTCCCATCTGGCCTTTAGTCAGTGCAAAGAGACATCAGGCTGCCTTTGTCTTGCCCAAGGTTTCCTTTATCTAATCAATTATTATGTATCACCTCAAAATAGTTTGGCAAAGATTAAGATGGAAAGATATTGGAGTTTGCAAACTACTCCTCTGATGATGTACTTTGTAATCAACCAGGGAGACACAGTGTCCATCTCTTGGTTATGATAAGCTTATTTTAGACAAGTCCTAATCAAAAGCGATAAGTACGTACTTAGTTTTAAAATGCAAAAGCTAATGCACTCCTTCCTTTCACAAGTGTTAGGCAGCTTGTCATCTTTTTCAGCTCTTACAGCTGCCCAGAGGCCACTTGAGATGTATAGGAAAACCAAAATAAGACGAGCATTATTATCTACTTTGCGTGCGGCCTCATCATGTTCAGAGCATGAATGTGTTGAATGACTGGGCAATTTTCTCATGTGCTCTCACAATGGCAAGCACCAAATAAGACTGCTACACTGAGGTAAAATATTAGGTTTTATTATGTTCCGATCCAAAGAAGAAGTAACTTTTCTTTTTTTTCTTTGCTTGTTGTGTGTCGTAAAAGTGTGTTATTTTATGTAAATTATAGTCCATTTTCTCCAAGGAACGTTTGCCCAATCTATCCAAGTTAGTGTTGATGACACTGGCAACATTATGAGAACTCTCGATACAGGTTTTACTTTGGAGCTTATCGGCTCATATTGAACATATCTTTCCATGCAAGTATTGGAACCGATTAGGTCACACAGCATATGTTTTTGTAGGCAAAGATTTTGATCATGTTAATCCTAAAGTCAAAACTCCATATATAGAAGCACAAGACTCGATAGCCAAGGTGTACAGTGAAATGCAATATTTATTGGATCCTCGATCCAAGAAAGTTATGTAGATGAAAACTTTCTCATTCCATATTATATATAGGTTTCTTCTTCTTCTTCTTCTTCTTCTTCTTCTTCTTCCTATTGCACCACCCTTTTCTCATTTGCAAGTTCGAAGCACACAACATACAATTCAAGTGTTTTCATATTCACCTCTCGAGCAACAAGTCTTGTCGACAAGTTCTTACCTCAAAGATCAATAGTTAGCTTCGGTTTGTTGCCTTCGTTACTTATGACTGCTTCATTAGCATATAAACATACCAACCGAAGGAATCTAATTAAACTTAATATCAAGAATTTAGAGATGAAACATCTTCTGAACATAGTCATCCGTCCCCTTTTGTTTCTTCGATAGCTCGACTAAATCATAAATAATTGGTATCAACATCACAAGTTGCCTGCCATTCTGAAAGCCAAATCTTGAAGCTCCCCCACTTCGGCATGTGTCGCCCACATCTTGCTGCTACTGCCACCTACGGAGAGATCCTCCTTGAAGACAGCATCATGCTTCGGTAAAAGTCTAGTAGAATCTTGATTGATGAAGTTACGGGAACTCTGAGAAGAAGACATGGATTCCCAAGAAGAATATGGTTGGAGAAAAGGGTTGCCGTCATCATTTCCTTGCCATTGGCTCCCTGAAGGCTGTGAAGTAACCAAGCGTTGGGCTATCTGCGCCTTGACAAGCATCAGCTGCAGCTGCAAGGTAGTAACCTATGCACACACATAAATCATCAACATCCATAACACGAATTGGAGTAGATAGATATTGTTTTCGACAGTGTTTCTTGTTCCCTGAACAAGAAACCGGGGGAGGATCTCATCCGAAGTTGTCGAATGATGTTCTCCAATTCAGATCATGCAAAGAATTCGATCTCGGGAAAGAATATGACATGATGCGGCCTGGTTCGTTCGTGCATGCATGCATGAGTCTGAGGGCTGCAGCTACCTGTTGTTGCAGGGCGAAGATGTGCCCTACGCAGCCGTACACAGGATCCTTGAGTCTGGCCTGAGCCTCGTAAGCGATGGCCACGGCCGCCTCGCACCGGTCGGCCTGCGGCACGTGAAGCAGCAGCTTGGCCGCGTTGCTGGCGCCGAACACCTTGTGGATGGCCGCAAACCGCACCGCCCCCTGCTCCGAGCTGAAGTAGGGCGCGAACACGCAGTCGCTCGCGCACTTCCGACGCAGGAACTTGCACGCGCCGCACGGAGAGCCGGTGCCGGAAGCCATAACCCAGCAGCCTAGCTAGCGCACAGTCACGGAGAGAGAGAGCGCGAAGGATTTGTAGGAGCAGACGAGAGAGAGAGAGAGAGAGGAGCGGCAGAGGGAGACACGGGAAAGGAGGGGTGTAGGGTTCAAAGCAGACAGGAATTAATGGTGTGTCGGAGAAGGGTGGCCGATTGAGGATGTCTTGCCAAGAAGATATTGCGTAGAAGCGTGGCTAAGATGGGTGAACCCAGAAAAACCAGAAAACCTTTTTGGCTAAGTTGATATGCATTGATAGACATCTAAAGATCATATGTGTTTGTTCTATCCGTGCCAAAGAAAAAAGAACATACATGTGAAATTACTTTATAGAGATATTCTTATATCATCGATTTAATGAGCGAATATGTCATTTAGATATTCAACTAATATGACACGCCCAATATGTTTTGTATCATGAAGTGATATATCTATTAAATATTGACTACATTTGAGTCCATTGGTTGATAAAAATAATGATCATATTAATTTTATTCATCAAATCAATAATAATAAGTTTTATTTTTAAAAAATATATATCAATACTATAGCATATTTAACTATATATTTATAATATTCGTACGGGGAATATCAACTAATAATTATTTAAATTAAGAAAAAAACAAATAAATAATGAAAATTACACCTCCTTTTGTCCGCCTAACGTGGAGATTACTTATCGGCACCCACCGGTGAACCCTTTCTAAGGGCCGAGATATTTCACTAACTCCATCATACAAGGAAAGGAAGATGAATAATCCAGTACAAATTACTAAATGGATGAGTTAAACCCATGTAAATAAATACATGATAATTAATTATTTCTCATAAATATTTATTGTATAAACATAGATATGTTATGACATAATTTACTTGTCCAACATATCAAGGGTTCAAAATCAATCCGAGTTTAACATATAAGATTATCGTAAGTTTTATATCAATACACAAGAGAGGGTTCGATGAAAAAATTTATAAAAATAGTTTCGATGGTGTGTCCGACAAAGATTCCTCTTCGATGTTAAAATCAGTAGAGTAGTCAATGAATTTAGGGTGTGTACTCAAATTATTCGAAAGAGCAAGAGTGTACTTGAGACTTTTGTATATAAGATTTAGGTAATCGTTAAAGTGATGAGTTAATCCATGCAGTAATTATGTAAAATCATATCGTAAAGATGATCATCCAACCATCAAGCTTTACAATTAGTCGGCTTGACTCTTGTTAATGAGATGAGAAAGCTTCAACTAATGCGTGAAGATAATTGAGTATTCAAGATAACACCGATTAAGCTTCAATTCAACATTAGATGACGAGTATTCAAAGTGTGTTTCAGAGTCATTAGGCAGAGGTATTATGTAGATTCCTCGTGACATTACAAAATACGTGAAAGTAAAAAAAAGCGAAAAAAAAGGCTTGCAAAAATCACGGGCTAAGATAAACAATATGATACATGAAATAAAGATATTAAGCTGAGAATTAACAATAAATCACTAATATGATGTTTAAGACAATATTTAAGAAATGACAGAAAAATGAAAAAAATTTCCTATACAATATTTTTCTCATGATTTATCAAATGGAAGGAAGAATAAAAGAGGAGTGGAACGCTTTCCTTTATTCTCAAATATATGTGCTCATAAAATTTCTATCTCCATTATAATTAAACCCAATACTTAACTCCCATAACTAGTAAAAATTAGAACTCCAAAGTTTAATTACAATCTACACATAGAACACTAGAAATGGTCATAACATAAGTCATTAACCACTAATCTAATATGATGCCAAGGGCATGATTATTATCAAATTCATTTCGTGACAAGGGAAAAATAGATTTCATAAATTTATTATCAAATTCAAATACACACACTCAATGATTTCATATTCATTCCTCAATTTGAGTAGAACACATATGTGAATTTATCCTTGAAAAATAGATATTTAAATATATGACCTTATGGTTAATTTGTCAATTTTACAATTAATGATTGTTAATCTAAGCTTCTCGAATAAATGTTAATATGAAAAGGAACATTTGGATAATCTTAAATATTAATATTTGAAGGGATAAATATGTCATATTATTAATCAGAGCAAATGTGCACTTTCAAACTTTACAATGATAAAATATGCAAACTGTTGATAATAACCCAAGTAATAATTGTAGCTAATTTAGAAAAAAAAAAGTGTTTTTTAAATTATATTTTGGATATTTTTCAATTGGTACCTCTATTTTATTTTTTTTATCAAACAGTACCTCTAATCTTAGAAATATCCAAAATACTCCTAAAAATATTTTCTACCGATTACAGTGTTTTAATATTCGGTAGTGTTTTGACCATCATAATAAAAATATAATAAAATCCACAAAAAAATATTATAAATGAATCAAAAGAAATCAAAGCACACTAGATTCCATTTGATATCACGATTCAAATAAGTATTTATAATAATTTAGAAATAACATCACCCAAATAAAAATTAAAAATTAATTTATTATAATATTTTGATCATCATAATAAAAATCTACTCAAAAATACTGTAAATGATCTAAATGGACTACTGACCTCAACCAAATAAACTACAGGCCTAAAAATATAATATTATAATGATCTAGAGTAATGATAGCAATAAAAATACTATAAATGTTATTAAAATATTGTAAACTAGCCAAATAAAATAAGGTCTTTTTCTTTTATAAAATTCTTTGTAGGATCCTTATGAACATGAATCTAAAATTAAAAAAAAATTAAATACTTAAATGATATATTATAATTTTATAAATATATTGGTAACACATCACCTATTAACAATCATTGGAGTAAAATGAATACATCCATTCAACGGTCTAATTCTATTGAATGAATATAATCAAGTATTATTGTTACTATATCATCAAGAACATGTGATGACTAATTTAATACAACATACATCGAAAACTAATATAAGAACATCTTCTGGTCTCATATTTTTCGAGAATCAGAAAATCATTTTCAAGTTTGAATTTGTTCCTTTGAAATCTAAGCTATATATATATATATATATATATATATATATATATATATATATATAGAGAGAGAGAGAGAGAGAGAGAGAGAGAGAGAGAGTAAAGGCACTTTTTTTACCACATCGGATGGAAAGTACAAAAATCTATTAGATCTATTATATTAAAAAATAGCCTTCTACTTTCGGAGGTGATCAGAAAGAGCCCTTCACTTGGAATTTAATCTAAACAACGCTGGTTTTATTGAAATCTCATGTTTGTATTTATCCCTTGAGTGGTCCACATCAAAACAATTAGAGAAAGATAAAGTACAATATTTCAAGAACTTTCAAGATGAGGGACACCCTCTCATAATTTTTTAAAATTTGAGGTTTGCTTCAATTGTTTCCAAAAGTTAAAATATATTTTCCTATTGTTTGCAACTTGATGTCGTGGATCGAGAGTCGATATAGCTTGGTCCTATCTCAAAGACGGGAGGTCGTTCAGGTGGCTTCTCGGGGGGAAGACAAAGTGGTGAGTGTGAAGCAAGGGTTAGAGAGAATGGTTCATGAGATTGTCGCTGAGCCCTCTATGTCATTATGAGGTGGAGTCAAAAGAAGTTTAATCTTCGTTGGGATCCTGCACAACAAGTTGGTGTGGGAGGGATTCCTAACTCCATCTCTTTGATGCTTAAGTTAGTAGCCGAAGAATATATTCCCTTCTCTTTGGGATTGAGGAGGTGATCAGAAAGAGCCCTCGACTTGGAATTTAATCTAAACAATGTTGGTTTTATTGAAAT